CACCCGCCCGAGTGATTTTGCCTTCTCGATAAGGACTAAATCCAATAATCAAACTGATTATAGAACTCACAGACCACCTGTCTAAAACTTCTTGAGAATTTTTTCTCTACCCTAGTCTCTCAAGGAATTACAACTCAAAGACTAACTGTCAATGACTTCTTGAGAATTATGAGTTAACTCAATCTCTCAAGAAAATGAACCAAATATTAAGATAAATAGGTTTCGTGTTTAAAAGATGTTTCAAAAAGAAGATACATACACAAGTTTAAATTAAATGTTACACTTAACAAAGATATTAAAAGAAAATGTTCTAAATGTTTGAGTGTGAGAAACACTTCTTTTATTTTTCTCTTTTACGTAACCTCTTTGAGTGTATACGTTGATAAGCAATCAGTTCTCTATTTTTTCAATCTTCAAGAGACCTCATTATATAGGAAGAAATAGATTCGCTGGAGGGTAAAGTTGGAATATCCTCAAAGTAATCATTGTATGAAGGTCACTTCATATTGCAACATTAGAGTAGCGCTTGCAGCAGAGAGTTGGTGAGGATGATGGGACGTGAGAATCTTCTTTGGTAAAGAGTATAGTATTTTACATGGAAAGTAGATTTGTTTTTGTGTTTCTGTCACATTAACCAGTCATTGACCTTTTTATTTAAATCTTCTAGTTAGAGGCTTCTTATACATGTTGATGAAGCTTGAGTAGAGTTCAGAATCAGTCTTCAGGACTCAGGGAGACTTTCAGAGTCTTTGGAGAACATGGATCTGAGACTTTCAGAAGCTGTTAGTCATAACCTTTATCAGAGTCTATCTGAATGGTTTCTGTTCAGAAACATTGACTTGACAGACCGAAGTTGACTTTTTGTAAATGCACTTTCAATATATCCTTTGGTTCAAAGTTTAGACGTCTTCATAATCAAAATATTTTTTCTGTTTTCTACACACTTAGCAAAATAGTTAGAGTACAAAATTATTCTCTACACTTTATATCATCAAAATTCAAGGATAGTTGTAGAATCAAACTTGTTCCAACAATCTCCCATTTTTATGATGACAATTTGATGAATAATTTTTGCTTGAATAACCATATTTATAAAACTTCAGAGATAGATTTGTAAGATCCCCCTGAGTTTTATAGTTAACAAATTTCTCAATTTTTTTAGAGTGAGGTTTGTAAACTCCCCCTGAGTACTTATAATCTTTTTTTAGTTTCTGTAGAGTGAGGCTTATAAGTCTCCCCTAAGTTGAGACTTAGAAAAATAATATTGTTCAGATTGATTTTGGCATAGTTTGGGTTTTATTTGGGTCACAAGATACATCCAAATTTATTCATTTTCTCCCCTTTTGTCATTAATCAAAATGAAAAAAAAAATGAAATAGCATAACTAAAAGTAAAATGCAGGACATATCAAATTCCACAAACATAGGATATTTTCAAATTTTAAAAGGATGAAGGAATATGGAACTTTTAGAAGGTAATTTTAGCAAGTGCAAGATGGGTTTAAAATAAAAGAGCTAAGGAGGAGTTTAAATAGAGAGAGAAAGAATGAGCTAAAACATTTTAGGAGGGAGTAGGTAAACACTTAAACAAAACAAACTCAACAATTATCGATGCATATTGTAGTAAAATCTGAACTCACTGATGTTAATAACTCATCCTTCTTCACATCCAACATGAGGGTTAGGCGACCTTTATCTATTTCATTTCCTCTGTTTCAATACTAAAGTGGCTAAAGTTTCTTATATGACTTTTAGATTATGGTTGGGTTTTATGGTGCTTACGAGCTTTGAGAGTAAACCCGCTCGAGAGTTTTATTTCCCAAGCACATATATTACTTTGATGAATTTGAAATGATTAGCTAGTTCTCATACCTTTGTGAGATATTTGATTAGTTAGGCCTACTTTGCTTGGTGTTATCCAGTGAAGTGATTTTCAATCAAATGTGAGTCATTCCTGACCTTAAGACTTGAGGTGCCCTTATCTATGGCGAGGTTCATGCCAACGACGAATGCTTCATACTCATTACTCAGCTTGATCGTTTCTAGCATTAAATTCTAATCTCAGAGATTGCTCTAAGAGGGGGTCGTATAGGTCATCCAACTATATTCAAACTTCACACCACATTAAATTTGAGGCTCCATCCAACGACAATATCCATACATAGAGGATCTCCTCGCCCATAGGTGAACTGGAATCTACCAAGAAATCTGCTAGCACTTGAGATTTTATACTTCCTCTAGGCATAAAATGAATATGTTACTTAGATAGTTCAATTGACCAGGATACCATCCTACTTGCTAGATCTGACCTTTTTAAGATTTGGAGAATGGTTGATTTTGAAGATCACACGATATCCTTGGAAATATATCCCGAGTTTACTTGCAGCAATCACGACGTCCAACACCAATTTCTCAAGTTTTGGATACCTCGCCTCAACACCTTTAAATAAATTGTTTATAAAGTAGACCAAGTTTTCCATTTTTTTTCTTTCTCCAAGACAAGTACAAAGCTCGTCTCCCTATCACTGACAGAAAAATATTAGTATAAGATTGTGTTTGCCTTAGGGCGTGTCTACGTGGGCGGTGTTTCCAAAAAGACTTCCAATGCAGCGAACGCCTTTTGGCATTCGTTTGTCAACTTAAATGTTTACTTCTTCTTTATAGTGAAAAATAATTGAAATGCTTTGTCAAATGCACATGAAATAAAATGGGATAGGGCAACCAAGCACCCTATTAGTTGTTGAACTTTCTTAAAGTTTGACGAGTTCCTTATGTTAATAATCGCCTGATATTAGTTAAGGTTCGCCTCTATCCCCCTTCAGGTTAACATAAATCCTAAGAACTTGCCCACCTGAACCCCAAAGGAGCACTTGGCAAGGTTCAGACACATGTTGTGTCTTAAGAATTAATTTAATATGTCTTCCAAGTCTTTAGAATGACTTTTTTCTTCAGGGTTTTTCACAAATATATCGTCGATGTAAACCTTCCGATTATGATATGAGAACTCCACGTCCATTAGCCTTTGATAGGTGGTGCTTGTATTCTTCAATCAAATGGCATGACATTAATAGTAGTTGTTATGGTTGGACATAAATGTTGTATTGGGTGTGTCCAATGGTTCCATTTTTATTTGGTTATAATCGAAGTAAGCATTCATGATTGTGTCCTTCTCAAATTCTTGTGTCATTTTTTAGGCCTTTAGTACCTTGTTATATTTATATATAGTTTTATTTGCTTTCAAAAAAATTGTAGAGGTATGGATAAAATTTCTTGAATTAAACCTCACAAACATCTAGAGATTAATTTTGTGGTTTCGTCCCGAGAAAACATTTTTTTTGAAAGGCCAAAGAAATTATATTAAAAATTAAAGGCATGGAGGCCATAATATTATGTAATACATTCAATCGAATCCCAAAAACTGTAACCTCAAGGATTGGAATACCAACATCCCTCCCCAAGTAACCTAATAAAATGATGACCTGTGTAATCCCCAACCGAACCAAGCACAAGCAAAAAAAACTTGAAAACAAATCCACTAAACATAGTACCAATCCAAAATTTACATTGCATTACTCCAACCTATTGACATTTTAATTTAAACATACTGAACCTGAATTTAGTTACTGGTTAGATTCTGCAAGTTTCAAACTATTCTATTGATTAAGTTACTGGTTAGACTCGGCATTTAATCAATATAATAGTTTGGAACCTTTTTCAAAATGCATTCAATCAATAATCCATTCCAGAACTTGAACCCGACACTTTTTTCTCGAATTGAAGTTATCTTGATCTTTAAATTGATATGAATCCACTTGGATTGAACGAAAATTCAGCTCCCGTCTTAACATGATCATATAAGAAGTCCAACGGATTTAGTATTCATTGGTTAATGGAATAATTGAATTCGATCATTTTATACTTTAGCCAATTCCATTACAGTAGTTGAATAAATTCTAACAGATTTTCTGCATTAGACTCCTTATTCCCAAATACCTGCTCGTTCTTACTTTTTCATATAATCCAAGTACAATTTAAAATCCATCTTCTCCCTTTATTTTTGATTCCATTTTTTCCATCACGTGCAAAATCCAAATGTTTCAAATTCACAGAATCATACACCTTTTCAAAGTCTACTTTAATTAACAACGCTTCTCTTTTTCTCTATTTAGCATCATCAACTATTTTATTTGCTACAACTATTCTGTCTACCATTTGAAAGCATTCTAACAATGCAACTTGCGAATCTAAAATTACTTTTTTTCACTACCCGCTTTAATCTATTTGACAGTAATTTTGATAATACTTTATACATGCTTCCTATTAAAGAGATTGGCCTAAAATCATTAAGCTTTATCAGATTCTCTCTTTTTTGGATTAACCATTAGAAACACAATTAGCTCCTCTCACAATTCTGCCATTCCTATAAAACTCAACAATGAATCTATCAAAATCCTCTTTAATTACTTCCCAAAAATGCTCAATGAATCCAAAATTTATGCCATCCGAACCGGGGTTTTCGAGCTTTCACATTCCCAAACAACATTTTTTATCTCCTCCTCTCCTCTGAAAATTCTGCAGTAAGTGCTGCGTTATCTTCGTCACTGATGCATTTTAAGACAAAATTCTGCAGCATCGGTCTCATTATCTTTTGGTCTCCAAACAACTTTGAAAAGTGATTGACTATCTCATTCTTTATCTCATGTCAGTTTTGAGCCATTTGCTTTGATACAACCAATTTTGTTAAATTTTCTTCTATTTAGCATACACAATAGTCTTCCACCGTTTTTCTTAACGCTGGCTTTTATTTGGGAGTTTGGAAGAGAACTTTGGAGGGAGAGCTTTAGAAGAGAGCTATGAAGTTACCTTATCTTGCTTAGAGATTTTTTAAGTGGCTACCAACACGATAAATATAATCTCTACGGAATGATAAGTCTGAAAAACAAATTAAATTCACTAATTTATGAAAATACAAAGAGAGATCACAAATGATGCAACGTAAATTCACATAATGATAGGAACATCGAGGTGGCTCATGGCGTAAGCACTGAAACCCAATGAAGATTGTCGAAAGCCAAGAAGATCACGTTGAGCAGCATATTCCTCTAGCACAATTCGAGCATCCCATACAACGTAGAAAACAGAAGAGACGAGTAACAACAAGTATGTAGTTATTGGCACCATGTTTTCTCAAAACTATACCTTAGTGAATAATATATTGTGTGAGTGAAGTGCTTTATATGCTTCAAAAGACAAAAATTAAATTTGGACAATGTGGTACGTACTAACACAAGAAAACAATAAAGGAAATTTCTAGCAAATCGAGATGGTTTGTGAATTTGATGAGCTTAGCCAAAACTCATAAAATGGTCGAAAAGGAGGTTTTTTTTACCCCACTACCCCTTTTGAAATAAAATATACCATATTACCCCACTTTGAAATTTTTTGACAATATACTCCCTTTTTACTACGAGCTCGTCCATTGATTGGACCAACAAGTCTGACCCAGTACAAGCACGTCCATTGAAAGGACGAGCTAGTGGGAAAAAAAATTCAGTATGAGCTCGTCCATTGAAAGGACGAGCGTGTGAATGTGTTATTTTTTTTAATTGTTTTTATTCTGAGTTTTATTTATGTATTATTGAATTATTTTTTAAAACATTAAATATTTATGTATTATAATTAATAATAAAATAATAATATAAATTTTAATAAATAATAAAATTTTAATTTTTTTTAATTCTGAATTTTATGTATATTTATTTTTTAATACATTTTTTATTTATTTATTTATGTATTATAAATAATAAAATTAATAATGTTAATTTTAATAAATAATAAAATTTTAATGTTAATTTGAATAAATAATAAAATTTTAAGTATAAATAATAAGATAAATAATGTTAATTATTTTTTAAAAAATAAATTATTAAATATTCATTAATAAAGAATTAAATGAGTATAAATAATTTGTTATAAATAATTTGTTATAAATGAGTATTAATTTATTTAGAAATAAATTAATAAATAATTTGTTAATAATTATTGTTATAACCAAACAATAATTTATTTATAATAAATTATAATACATAAATATTTAATGTTTTAAAAAATAATTCCAATAATACATAAATAAAACTTAGAATAAAAACAATTAAAAAAAATAACACATTCACACGCTCGTCCTTTCAATGGACGAGCTTATACTGAACTTTTTTTTCCCACTAGCTCGTCCTTCCAATGGGCGTGCTTGTACTGGGTTAGATTTGTTGGTCCAATCAATGAACGAGCTCGTAGTAGAAAGGGATACATTGGTAAAAAAATTTCAAAGTGGAGTAATATGGTATATTTTATTTCAAAAGGGATAGTGGGGTAAAAAAACCCAAAAAGGAAGAAAAGACAAAGATGGAGAAAAAAAAGTAATGCTGTACTATTTTGTTTTATGAATTTCCGGTTTCGAAGAACAATGTTGTGGCTTCACTTTATTTCTTTAATTGTGAAAACTGACCTGTACCTCACAATTATCAATTTCAGTTTCTTATCCTATAATTAAATAGATACTACAAGCTATGTGTAACTTACAAAGTTTATGGATCGCAACATTACAAAATTAAACTCTTCATTATATGTAACTTATAATAAATTAATAAAATGAATAACAATATTAAATTGATTGAGAGTTGATCTAGTTTTACGAATTTATCATTCAAAGAGAAAATAAATGTATGTCTTCTTTATATTATTTATTGTTGATTTCATTCTAAAAGAGTCATATAAAAATTTAAAAGAAATTCTCAAAAAGAAGGTAGTAGTAATTTTATAAATAAATTACTTAGTTCATGAAGGTTGTACATAACCGTATATAGCATAATTAAGAATGTTGTTTTAAAATAATTTTGATTTGGAGGTTCACTACAAGAAGAAAAAAATATTTATTTACAATTACTTTTAATTGTTACAGCAGTTTGAATCGTTGTTAATTTTAAATGGTGAAGGTTTTTCTTGACTGTTTTAAAATCGTCCATTTTACATAGGTTTGTAAAACCGTCGCCTCAACCACCTTAGCATATGGCGATAGTTCTAAAACCGCCTAACAATACAAAGGTTTGAATGACTGTTAATTGAAAAATAAATATTACTGTCGGTGTAAAAAGTTTTACACTGTCAATTAATTTTTCACAGCCATCTGTTGGTATTACTTTTCAAATGTTTAAAATAAAAGTCAAACATTTCACATAAATCAGCAGTTGTGATTATCTGACAGTGTAAAAAAATTTATACACCGTCAATATATATCAATTAAATTCTTTAAACATTGCAAAATCGTCGTTAATAATTTTTTTTAAAAAACTAAAAATTGTTGTGTGGTCTTCGTGGTGTATGTAAATTTAATAGATATACACTACAACTATAAACTTTATTCTAAATCAAGCATTTCAAAGACATCAAATTTTAATTTTATTGATGTTGCGAACTATAAATTTGAGTTCTTCGAAAATAATAAAGTCTCCATCAATGTTTATTGAATTCGAGAAAACATTGATAAAACTTTTTAAAACTTTTTAAACGAAAAATGGTTCTTAAAATTATATTTTAAATTCGAGAATCGATTATGCGTAGAAAGGGTGTTAGCACCATAGGACATCCATTCAAAAATGGTTATTTCTCACTAATTGTGCAAAAACATTGTTAAATTTTTAAAACTAATTATTTTTTTCCTTATTATTAAATATAAATCAACATTCAAGTTTAAAAAATAAAATATTTTGGTTTACATTTTATTTGTTTTAGATCGGCTAAAAGCGCAATTGATCAAGAGCCGTTTCATCTTAAATCACTTTACTAGACCCAAAGTATAAGAACAATTCACATGTTAAGAGCAATGTACAGTCTCTGATCTCCACTTTCATTATACTCATCTTTAATCTTGAACTGACTTGGGCGTTGAAGTGTTTACCATGCAGGTCCACCCCGCATCATCGTAAAGGAGATTAGAGTCACCATTCAAGATAATTAGTTATTCAACTATCCATATTTATGGTTCCTTCATAAAGTTAGAGCATCCATTTGTGGTTCCCAAACAGTACAGTGGCGTTGTCTGTGGGAAACGACATCTAATTCTCGCTAACTTTTAATTTTAGGTCAATCTTTATCTAAAATCAGATCTATAACCACAACAGGAAAAACAAAGACGGTAATTATGGCACCTATGACTAGAATCTTCAATATATCTCTTGAATCTACTATTTATCAGGCATTATCGATTGAAGAGTTATGCAATACCGCATCACCTAACACATACCTTTCATTGTATTGCTTTATACTTGTGACTGACGTAGATGCTTTTCGTTGTAACTCTGCATGAGATGTCTGACATTGATCCTATTGTAGTGTGCCACCAGATGAATGTGGATCCTAGCTCTTATTACGCCTCCCAATGTTGGAGGAGACAATCTCCTGGAAAATATGAGGCCACTGCCAACACGGTTAAAGGCTAATTAGACGCCTAATTCATTTATGAAGCCAAGTATACAAAGTGGTTGTCCGATGTAGCGTTGGTAAATAATGCCTTGGGGAAACAGAGGATGTATGTTGATTATAGAGATCTTAACATAGCCTACCCAAAAGATTCTTACTCGCTTTTGAACAATGATAAACTAGTACTGGATAATTCAGCGGGGTATCAAATACTTCCATTTATGGACGCATATTCAGGCTATAATCACATACTTATGTAACGACCAGACCAGATAAAGACATGTTTTATGACCGAGTTGGCCAATTATCAATAGAATCTTACGCCCTTCGGATTAAGGAATGTTGAGGCAACCTATCAGAGAATGATAAGAAAGATTTTCCAAGAAGAGATAGGAGAAATGCTGGAGGTATACATGGATGATATGATCATATAGTCTGGTCAAGAAGAGTTTCTAGCTCAACACCTTCAGCGGGTATTCAAGAGGGTTCGACAATACAATATGCACCTCAGCCCATAGAATACCTTCGGGGTTATGGCGGGAAAATTCTTGGCTTTCTATTTAATCGAACGAGGGATCGAAGCAAACCCGAACAAGTGTGAAGTCGTGATTCAAATGAACTCGCCGAATTCATAGAAGGGGGTTTACAGGTTAAATGGTATGTTGTCTACTTTGAATATATTTATTTAAAGTCAACACATCACACTTTACCTTTTACTGATTATTAAAGAAGAAGGTCGATTTCAAGTCGACAAATGATTATGAATAAGCGTTTAAATCTTTAAAGAAAGCCTTAGCCAAACCCCTGGTACTTACCCAACCATCTCCAAGGGAAGTCTTATATTTGTATTTGGTTTTGCAGAAAAAGATGTAAGTTCCATTTTGATTAGAGAATATGACGCCTACTAGAGGTTGATGTATTTAATTTCCAAAGCATTGGCGGGGGCAGAAACGTTATATCAAAAGATCGAAAAAGCAACCCTGTCGTTGTAACAACATTACGAAAGTTGAAACAGTACTTCCTCACACATTCCATTGTAGTTTGGATAGACCTGCCTCTAAAACACGTGCCTTACCAGCCGGATCTTGTCGGGCGTCTGACGAAGTGGACCATTGACTTATTTGAGTTTAAGGTCTCCTTTGAGGCAAGGAAAGCTTTGAAAGCATAGTTATTCGCTAACTTCTTAGCATAAATGACTCCCATAACCATAAAGTCATATCGTACATGCACTACTACAAATATATCTTTCGTAACAAACTATTACCTCTGTCAGATCTAAAAAAGAATTATTAAATCTAGTACAATCAGTGGCATACCTAACAAATATTGACTAAAAAAATAATTATCAAGAAACATGCAATTAAAAACAAATTTTGATTTGAAAAACAAAATGAAATATGCAATGTCAGATCTAGTACAATCAGTGGCATACCTAAGATTTCCTATGATGATCACATACTTTGTTTGTCTAACACTCACTGTCGCTATTGCGAAAATCGGCGCCGGCGGACAGAAGAGTCGCCACCGTGCGTTATTTATCCCAAAGGAGGGAAAGGAAACGCTCGAAGTAAACCTCGCAAAGACGGGAAAAGGTATGGTCATCGCAACCAAAACCTGGGTTCGGGAGTCGGTTACGCAAGGGGAAGGTATTAGCACCCCTCACGTCCATCGTACTCGATGGGATCCACGCTTGCTGGGTTTGTACG